CTGGGCCGAAATACAAATTAAATTAAGCAACGAGACAAAAGGCAGACTTGCAGCAATTTACAGAAAAACTGCCAACAAATCAAATTGCCACAAAAAGGGGGGGAATGGCAGGAATAAGGGGGGCGGGATACGACATACGAGAAGGCGATCTCAGTGCTGGCCAATTCCCGGGTTGACAATTGCGGTGGCGGCTGGTTTGCTGAGTAAATAATTTCGTCTTGGCCATAAAAAGGCTGTCACAGTGATGGCCAAGTGGGGGAGGGGGTACCACCTGGGTGAGGTGGAGGGTGAGTGGAGCAGGCCTGTCAATTGGCGGGAGATTGATGCCCCTGGATAATAGCGACGCGAACAATTTGCAGACGACAACACGCCGCAGACCGAACGACAAACTTGGAGACGGAGTCGGAGTCCCCATCGGCCTGACAAGAACAGGAGACATCGATGGAGACCGATGAGATGGTGTGCGACAGAGAGGTCTTCTCCGGTGAGCTGAAATCTCCAGCGGTGGTCTGCCGCGACAACTGAATGACAACTCTTTAGGCCATCGTCGATAACGGGATTTCCTGAGCAAGTTATTTGCCCAAAAATGGGTTTTTTTTTGTTCACCGAACAGGCAAAGTGTTGACATGGCTTCGACGGGTGACAAAGGCGCATGCGTGACACCCCCGAGAGAACGGGGGTCCGGACTCCATTTGAGCCACAGATGGCCTGGGCTACAACCTCTCCGGTATGGTAAACAATTCTCCGGTTAAAGCGCATCGGGGACAAATCTTTTTTTCCCCTCCCAGATGGCCCAGCTCAATTAGCCATCAAGATCATCGCGATTTGGCCGTCTTTGAGTTTGCGTTGTGATGGGAATTGTTCTTGGCCAAACAACAACAGCTGCCACTGGGTATGCGTTTATCTATATAGACGGGGGCCTAGACAAAGGGGCATTGTTTGCTTTTCCGGCAGGATGCAATAAAATGCAGGTGCATATCCCGCATCCATCTCTAGGTTCCCAGCTTTCCAGAGACTGAAGATGCACTTGAAAAAAATTCAGAGCTTATAAAGGACTTGAGGCTGGCTCTACTTGTATGTTAGTTCTAGAATTTATTTCAGTGCATATCCTTTTGGCACTGCATCCGAGTTGTCCTCTCGGCTCTCGTTGCGTTCTCAACATGTTGCCAAGTCATTAACTTGAGCCTGTTTTTGGCTTTTGTTGCATGTTTGTGATTACACGACTGTGGGGGCATACCACATGTAGTCTGGATGGGGGTCAGAACTGCAACAAAAGCGGCCAGGACATGGACATGAAGCTGCTGTTGTTGCGCCTTGAGCGTTTGAGCCATTTGAAAATTGCAGGCAGGGGTTGCAAGCAACCACTCTGTTGCAACTCCACCCCCCCACATTCTGGCCAACGCCATTGTCTAGTTTTTTATGTGTGTATTTGTGTCGTGCTCATGTGCGAATTTTTTATGGCTTGAAGAAAACAACCCCCAAGTGGCAGCCGGCGGTGGCATTCGTGTGCGTGTGGCAACGTCAACTGGGGCGTCTACAAGCTGCTAAGTGCACTTGCCCACCGTTTCTTGGCACCGCCCCGGCCCCGGTCCTCCCGCTCACATGTAGCTTTTCTTTTAGCCATGAATACATAATGCCCTGCACTTGAGGCGTACTCTTTTCTTTGCCTTCGTCCTGCCGGCGACAAAGGCGAGCGGCTAATTCAGATGGCAGATTCCAGGATCCAAGGGTCCGTCAGATAAATGCATTCTCTAAATGTTGCAAAAAGGATGTTACCCCATCTCCCAGCCCAGTCCAAGTCCAAAACAAATGGAAACCCTTTTCGCAAGGATCCTTGCCAGAGTGTGTGCGCCTTCCGTTGCCAGTAGGCCGGAAAGTAATTAAAATCTGCGCTTAAGTGCAGCTCTTCAGAGGCTTGCAACAAAAAACACAAAATTGTGGATGGTAAGCAGCTCAAAGGACGGTGATTTGGGAAAAAGGGATTTGAGGTCCTTTGTGAAAGGACATCTAGTGTGAGAAGCGCTAAACTAACGACATAAAAATAAACTAATAGAGCAAATAAAAAATCATAGAAAACAAATATCCTTAAAGGGGTATACGAGCGCCCTCTACGGGCATAAAAAGTGTTCCCGCTTTATTAGCAGAGACACACCACCGCTGAGAACACTCATGAAGAGGAGAAAGTGCAATTTTTTAAAGGGGCGAGCTGGAAACATAGAGTCCCAAAAAAACATAGACTGCTCACCAAAAGTTCTCCTGGAAATTAAGGGGAGACTGAGTGGAATATTGTTTGAGTGGAAATGAAAATTCCAAATTAAATAAATAAACTAATTTATAGACATTTTCATGTGGAATTCATCGAAAATTAAAAAAAAGGGTTCGTCCATTACAAAGTTGAGATTGCTCTCAAGGATGGTGAACCCCTCTCGAAGATTGGCTTTTCCTTTTTCTATCCATGTTTGAAAATCTTTTGATAAATTGAATTCTATTTTTTGCAATGATTTTAAATACTCCATTTTGGTCACAAAAAATTTGCAAAACAATACGTACTAAAATTTGCATGTATTAGTAACATGTGTTGCCAAGTAAGTATTTACGCCATATTTAGTATAGAGTTGCCAATATTAGACCCTATTTTAATATTCTAATTTTCTAATATTGATTATAATTCCATTTTTATATATTTATATGCATATACATATTTAAGATCAATTTACATTTTTCATAAATTAGTACTAACAAGAATAATAAGAATAAGAATAACAAGAATAATTAGATCAAATTAATTAGTCTTTTAGACACTAAAAGAATCAAAGAATTTTTCGTTCGATAAAAGGTTCATTGCAATTGAATAAAAAAATTGATAAAATTTGCAACATTTTCATTTTCAGTTCATTTTTATTTTCATTTTTTTTTCATTTTCATTTTTCATTAAAAATAATTATTAATATGTTTAATATAAGCAACTGCGTAAGTATTTAATGTTTATTTTGTAATTATTGCCATTAATTTGTTTTTTTTTCTAGAATGTTACTATCGTTACCACCGACAAGCTAAAGACGCCAAAGAATCTGAAGAAGCTAAAGAAACCGAAGACACCCATGACCTGGGAGGAATTAATTGGTGAGGAGGACGACGTAGTGGAAAAAAAAAATAAAAACGGATTAAAAAAAAAAATATAAATAAATATAAATAAGCAAATCAGAACCCAATTAAAAAACCAAAGAAGATTCTTTGGGAGTTGTTGAAGGCCCCAAGGCCCGCAAACAACTGACCATAATAGGGACAGTCTTGTCTTTTTATATAAAAAAAATTCCTCATCAAAATGTTACCAATGCTTAACACGTTTTGTCGAAAGTGTTTGTATGCTAATTGGTCACACTTTTAAAGCCATTTAAAATTTTTTTTAAATGAAATAGGGTCTAATACATTGGCAACTCTATACTTAATGTGGCGTAAATACTTACTTGGCAACCCATGTTACTAATACATGCAAATTTTAGTACGTATTAATTGTTTTTAAAATTTTTGTGATCCAAATGGAGTATTTAAAATCATTGCAAAATGATTGCCATTTCTGGCAGCTTTGCTAATTAATCGAAGTAATTTAAAAGGCGAGTTGGAAAAGCAAAAGCTATTTGTTTTTGTTTTTATTTTATTGTTACTAATACTAAATTAAATTCACTTAAAGAAAGATTATATTTGGTTCTAAGCTTATAAAAATCTCCAAGAAACATGTCACCTATCAACGCATATTTTGTAATCTTTTCAAATGCGACAGACCATAACACTCCTCCCGAAAATATCCCCCTCACCATCCGGTGCTTTATTAAATCCAGGGACTAGCCTAAAAGTTTCCCGGGGCAACAACGGTGAAGAATGCAACGAGTTTTCAATATGTTGCAAACATTTTCTACATTTTCCAACAAACTTTTTCTTGCCACACGCAGCTGCCGGAATAAAGTTGCCCCTTCGAAGATGCCAACAAAACTAAAAAAAAAAAATAATCACAAAAAAAAGTAAAGTTGAAATCCTACTCCATCATCATCTGAAAAACATCATTGTTCGCTTGGGGCACAAGTTCAATTCTCAAATGCAAACTGCAAATGAGCAAAAAATTGTCAGCTCAAAAGAGGAGTAGTGGGTTGGAGGGGAAAACTGTGAAAATTGAAATGAAAATTACCCATTGTGGCATCGGCAGCATTTCAATTTGAGTTGCCATTTTGCACGTGCCCGGAGAGAAGGAAACCTTCTGACCACCCCACCCAGAGCAGCCTCATCCTTGACAGCCTGATGGTCCATGGCTGGTTGCCTTCGACTCGTTCGGCTCCTTTATGCCACCATCCTAGAGCTCCTCCTTCGGACCACCTTCTCTTCCGTAATCTTGGCAAATGCCTGGGAGTCTTGCATTTTATTCATGGCCTTGGTCCACGTCCGACTTTATTAGTTATTTTCCGCTCAATTTGTGTCCCGGGGAGGCAGGATAACAAGAAAAATTATTTTCATTTCATTCAACACATTCATTATGGCCCAAAGCAGTCCTTGTCCAGGGCCACACCTTTAGCTTCCTTTGTTGGCACGGCCCGAGGGGGATATAAAAGGTTTATTAGGATTGTATTTAATGGGATATCTTTTAAGGCAATAATGCCTAGGGTTTAAAAGAGGAGCTATTTCGTATATTTAAAACTTTTCCTAGTTTAATGAGAACAGGTGCCAAGATGGCCAAATCTTTTGTTGCAATTCACGTTGATTAGCCGCCGATGAAGGCCGTGTCCGGTTTCCAGTTCTTTGGGAAACTTTTCAGCCGGTAAATCCTACACACTGAGTGGGAAAAGTTCACAGCTAATTACATTGGTTAGTTAAAAGTTTAGGCACAATTATCAACACTTTCCAAGGCGCAACATGATGGGGCACAAAAACTTGCCAGACACGCCCACCAAGCGCCCACTCTATATAAGCCAAATGCCGTGAATCGACCACAAACAGTTCCTGCCCGAAAACTCAGTGGAAAAGTTACCGAAAATATGGAAAAGTCAGAGGATAATACAGCCAGGACATTTGAGGACATGATGAGAGTGCCAGTACAGTTCTACAGGAGCATTGGCGAGGACATCTACGCGCATCGATCGAAGAATCCTTTAAGATCCCTTCTGCTGAAGATCTATCTTTATGCAGGGTTTATAAACTTCAACTTGCTGGTGATCGGAGAGCTCGTGTTCTTCTACAACTCCATCCAGGACTTTGAAACCATTCGGTTGGCCATTGCCGTGGCTCCTTGCATCGGCTTCTCCCTGGTGGCCGACTTTAAGCAGTTCGCCATGGTCTATCACAAGCAGACCCTGATCCAGCTCCTGGACGAACTGGAGGACATGCATCCCAAGACCCTCAAAAAGCAAAAGGAGTACAAGATGTCTAGGTTTGAGCAGACCATGAAGAGGGTCATTAACATATTCACGTTCCTCTGCTTGGCTTATACCACTACTTTTTCATTTTATCCTGCGATCAAGGCCACAGTAAAGTTTCAATTCCTTGGCTACGAGACCTTCGATCGAAATTTCGGATTTCTAATCTGGTTTCCCTTCGACGCCACCAGTAGCAACGTGGTCTACTGGATCATGTATTGGGACATCGCCCATGGAGCCTACTTGGCGGGAATAGCTTTCCTGTGTGCTGATCTCCTTCTGGTGGTGGTCATCACCCAGATTTGCATGCACTTTGAATACATATCCATGCGTCTGGAGGAGCACCCTTGCCACCCAGGAGCTATTAAGGAGAACAAGGAGTTTCTCATTTCCATGATAAGATATCATGACAAGTGTTTGAGGTAACGTGGGTTTATTTTATGGAATTTAAGAATAAATATTTGTACACGTACAGGCTCTGTGAACACGTCAATGACTTGTATAGCTTCTCCCTGCTCCTGAACTTCCTGATGGCCTCCATGCAAATCTGCTTCATAGCATTTCAGGTCACCGAGTCCACCGTGGAAGTAATCATTATTTATTGCATATTCCTAATGACTTCAATGGTTCAAGTCTTTCTGGTGTGCTACTATGGAGATAGTTTAATAGCAGCGGTGACTTGAATATTTATTAAGTCTGAGGCTGTTTTTTTTTAATTTTTTCTGCAATTTTCAGAGCCTTAAAGTAGGAGATGCAGCTTATAATCAAAAATGGTTCCAGTGCGACAAAAACTACTGCGGAATGCTGAAGCTCTTGATTAAACGCAGCCAAAAACCAGCTTCTATAAGGCCACCTACATTTCCGCCCATTTCCCTAGTTACCTACATGAAGGTTAAACCAATCTTTTTTTATTTTAATAATAAGAAAATATATATTTTTGTATTACAGGTCATTAGCATGTCGTATCAATTCTTTGCCCTTTTGAGAACCACCTACAAGGATAATTAAAAAAACCTTTCTGGTAGCTGATTAGTGATGACTTTAACGACCTCTTAAAAGAAATCCTCATCCTTCCCGCTCCTGCAGTATTTTTGCCAATTGCTACCATGCTTAATGACGCCCTCGACACGCTTTGATAATATTTAATTAAAAATCGCATTTAAAATTAATAAGCTTAAATGGAGACCAATAGCGCCTGGCCGAGCACAAAAATCCGTCCAAAGCTGGCGCAGAGGAGCACACGAGGCAAACAAAATAATATTTTTTTCGAAAGGAATATTACAGCACCGCAGTTCACAAAAAAAAATAAGAGCAGTTTGAAAAAAATCGCTATACAAAGAGGGGGAGGCAAGCCACCTCAAACCCCCATGTCCCCCATAATTTCTGCCATTTTCCTACACTCTCCCCGCTCTGACCTGGTAATAAAAGGAACAACATGAAACGCAATCACAATCATCGACAATAATCTGGCAGCAACAACCAAAAAAGAGAGAAAAACCATCAAAAAAAAAAAAGAAAAATGCTTATTATAAAATTTCACAGTTTTTCAATGAGCAAAAAAGTGAAGCCGTGGCCGGGGTGGGTGGATGGGGTGGCTGGGGTGGAATGGCATTGCCAATGGCTTTTCAAAATCATAATGGCAGCTAGTAACAAGAGTTTTGTGTGCAAATAAGTGGGTGGGGGGAAGTCAGTACGGGCCGGGCTGGCGTGGGGTGGGGTATAAAAATTTGTTTTGCCATGGCGGGCAACCGATCAGAGTCGGAGCTGGCAAATACCACGTCAGCAGGAGCAGTTTTCCCCAGTCCTTAGATACACTTGAAAAATAATGTCCTTTAAGAGTGGCAAGAGTCTAAAAGCAACTAAAAATTTTTAAACAAGTTAGAGACTATTTTTTTTTTATTTTTATTGCATCTCTAACTCCTTTAACACTTATTCTAAAAAGCTTTAGCTAATGATTATAATCTGAAGAGGTTTTTAAAAATTAGTACACTTTTATTACTTAGTATTTAAATGTTTATTATATTTCTTTACAAAATCCAAATCCAAAATTTTCATAAATTGAATATAAAACATTAAATCGCATTTCTTCCTATGTACATCTCCGTTGGGCACGTCACGCGCTACCACTTAAAAAACCTTGGCCATCCGACCCCCACTGCCCACCACTGAGAGTCCTGCCCCACCACATCCCAGCCTCTGCTATTTTACCCAAACCCCCCCTGCCAGCTCGTTGCATTTTCCCTTAACAGGCCGTTAGTCGTTATTATTTTGGTCCATTGACGCTGCGGGCCACTGCTATATAGTGTATACACAAGGCGAAGAAGCGATTGTATATATATACAACGAGTCCTGCATATATAAAGGAGAGGGGGTGTCAGAGGAAGGGCATTATGTACCACCCTCAGGAACAGGATATGGACTCGAACTCAAACTCAAATACAAAATCGGACCAGCCACCCCCGGGTGACGTTGATGTCCCGTATTGGAATCGCGTTCGTTTCGTTTCGTTTCGTTTTGGTCCTTGGTCCTTGGCCCTCATCACCATCTCACCATCATCATCATCATTGCCGTTGCCGTCAGTGGAAAAAGTTGGAGTGGGCTGGAAAAAAAGTGGATTCTCCACAGGCACCACCAGGAGGGCAATTTTTATAATTTTAGTCTCGTTTGCTTTGAATTTATTTTTTATTTTTCTTTTTCTCCAGCGCAGCTTCTTTTCAAGCTTCCCTTGGCTTGACTCCTCCCACAATATTATTCAGGATTTCGTCCTGTGGCGGCGGGTGGAAGGTTTTTTTTATTTTTTTCCTCCTGGCTTGTTTCTTTTCTAACATTTCTTGTGTCAGTCACTGGAGGCGGTGATGGAGACAGAGACAGTCGCCTGGTGGGAACGAGACGGAGATGGAGAGAACCAGCCCGGGCTCACACAGATTCACTTATGGCCTTTGTATTGGTTTTCAGTTGTCGCTTTCACCTCCAACCGCCCACCTCCCCCACTAAAGCAAATGCAAAATGGCGTTGACTGTATTGATTTTTGATTTATTGCCGATTTGCTTGACGGTTCACTGTTGAGGGCCAACAAGGCGGCTAATGTCAGGCTAATAATTAGTCATCAGTGGGGTTACTGTACCTGGCTATAATATTTTATATTTTTGTACCATGTATCTAAAGGATGTATATGAGTACTATATGGTCTATATTAGTACTAATGCTTCATTTTGATATTAAGTTCAAAAACCATTAAGATATTTTATAAAAGAAACCTTATCTTAGTACTATATGGTCTATATTAGTACTAATATTAGCTCCCTATTGATTTTAAGGTGTATTATTTAGTTCTACCACCATTAAGTTATTTTATAAAAGAAACCTCATATAAGACATACCACAATTTAGCATCAACATACTTAATATTCTCAATATCTTCCCATTTCTTAAAGCCTACACAACCACCTTAAAATTCACTTAATTAATCTAATTATCCATTCTGTTTTCTGTCACTGTATGTTGTATCTATGTATCTGCTAAGTGCACATCAACTAGTGACCATCATCAGCTTTTATCGAAGGTCCTTTTTCCCTGCCATCCACTCCATTTGCTGCTCATATTTCCTGTCGCATTTTCCTTCCAATGCTAATGGGAAGGTAAGGAGGAGCAAAAAAATGCCAGGCACAAACTACGCAAATACGTGAAGAAATCTTTTTATTTTGCCCAACATTCACGCTCATCAGCTTTTAATTTTGTGCCTTGGCCGGGTCCTGGGTTGCGGGTCCGGGGACCTGCCTCCTTAGAAGTGTCCTGGACGAAGTCTCAGGCTTTGGTTGCCTCAGTCCCGTGGCAACCAGCGCTAATGAGACCCGAGCGGAGAGCTGCCCGGGCAACTTTCCATTACGTCGACTTTTTCCAGAGTTTTTCCCTCATTTTTTTCCTTCGACTCTTGTTGTGTTTCGTTGGGAGCCTTTGTGCAAGGACTCGTCTCGCTCCCTGCTCTCGTTGGCTCCTCGGGGGACAGCAAATGTCCTTTTGGCTTGTTAAGAAAATGTCGCTCTCTAATGCCCCAAAGTGGGCGGGGCCGGGGGCCACGACCGGCTAGTTGGAAATGCTGTTGTTTTTCCTTCGTCGCGCTCTTAAATTAGAAAAATGTAAATTTATTTTAATTAAGATAAATAAGTAACAAAATGTTTTATGGAAATTACGTTAAAAACGCGTAGACAAGAGGGTGACGGGTGGGTGGGCCACTCCATCGTGGCCAGGCACCGCAGGACAACTGCTTTAGCATGCAAATACACATAATCAGCAGGCAGCAGGCAAACAGCTAACAAACAGCAAAAAAAAAAAGCCAAGCGATTGTTAAAGGACCTCCATCTCCTTCAGATTTTTTCCTCCCTCGCCATTGAAATGGAATTATTTTTCCCATTTGTATATTCCGCCATTTTTTTACTGCTTTGTTGGAAAGTTTTGTTGCCTCGCACTTTTATTCAGATTTTTATTTTTTATTAACATCGATCGATGAGTGATTCCCGTTTATTTGCATTGATTACCCATGTACACAGACTTTCGACCGCCACTGTTATCGACACTCCCAACATCGTCTGATGGTCGATGTTGAAACTTTTAATTGAGTGCCCCAGACCCCGAGTGGAACAATTAATATTATATTTCTCCCTGGCTCCTGTACAAATAATCACAGAATTAATAAAGTAATGAAAAATACAAAAATACATGCGGAAAGTTCCCGAATTCGCATTGATATTCGATTGAATATTCATATATTTGTTAAAGCCTCTACAGTTGCATTCATTTAATTAATAGTTCGTTGTTTGCCTCTAGAGAGTACAGATTACAGAAATTCTCTTCATATCTTGATGCATGAAAGCCCGCTCAAGCTTCCTTCGTCTTCCGAAACCCAGCAATCCAATTAAGTAATTACTGGGTGGAGTGTTCGGTTCCATTTTACAGATTGTCAACTTCTGGTCACGATCCGCCATAAGCCATATAATTATGTTTCCAAATTCGTTCCCTCCTGCATCCTGCTACTCATCCTCGAGTGCGTTCTAATTTCTTCGCTTAGGACATTAACTACTTGGCGCCCAGAAAACCCAGCTCTCCTCTGAGTGGCCCCTTTCCCCAGCTATACAGTTGTTTTCCGGCGACTTTTGCTTAGCCTGCAGCATACTTTTCGAGCTTAATGGTTTAAATATTTACTCGTAATTAAAATTCAGCTTTATGCACATCACATCAAGTGCATAATCACAGACCAAACCAGACCAGACCAGCGCCGAACGAGCGGGCAAGGCCATTGAGACAATTTTTTTATTTTCGAGGGCCAAGAGAGAAGGAGCTGCCTTAGCCATCAGCCAACGCCCAATGCGGCTGACACTGCCGCCAGGAGTGGCGGAGGATGCACAAGGATCTGGCTATGAATGGGCCGAAGGATATGGGCCAGGCGGTGGCAGGAGCCAGTCGACATTAGCCGTGGGGCCGGAGTAAGCAACTGAAGATTATGTCGCCCCCAAAGTAAATGAAACTTATGCACAAATTACACAAGTCAGTTGCTTGGTATCAACATTAAAGCACTGCAAAAAAAAATAGGTAATAAATAGTATTTAGAATATATAAGAGACTTAAAAGAGACTGAATCTAAAGGATTCACAGGGTTAACATTTTTTTTAGACTTGTGGTAAAAGCTCAAAGATAAGGTCAATGAAACTATGTTTCTTAAAAATCTCTAGAAAATTATTAAAATATTTTTTGTAGTGCCTGCCCCCCTATTTGACCTGCCCCTGTCCCATGAACCTCAGCTCCTCTGCGGCCGACTATCCACTCCACTCCAGGCGGCGTCAGCACTGGTCTCTCTGCTCATAATTAAAACCCAAGCTGAATGAAATCGCATAAAATGAATTAAACATTTTAGGGCTATTTAGGGGCGGTGTAGGTGTAAGCCAGGAGCAGTGGAACAGAGCGGAGGAGTGGGTGGCGACTGGATGTATTGCTCTTGGGACAATTGCAGCGTT